GACTGTACTGAACCCCATAAAATGCGAGTCCTTTTTTCTGGTGAAAATTTTCAGTTCTAACCATTTTATAATATTGTTGATAATATAAAGTTGTGAGTGCAAATGATGAAATGGTGTGTTTTTGTTCACTCCTGACACAGTTCACACTGACACATGCGCAATGTGTAAAATTGTAAATTCTGCACATGCAATTACAGGTGTTTTAAATACAGGTGAGTTTTCACTGAGACATGTCCTTTATAAAGTGGTCTGTCCCAAAAACATTCATTCAGTCAAGGTAGCGTGAATAATGCTCATGAAATGATTAACACAATGGCAGAAAGGAATGGCTCTTGGATATTTGCTGGCCGGTACTCCTGCCACTATTGTAGCTGGAACTTTGGATGTCATGTTAGCATTATTACCAGACTTGCTGGACACTTCCAACATACCGTTTCTGTTTCTGATCATTCCCAGTCCTATCTATCACACTGTTCTAGTAACAAGTCTCTGAGACATTGGACCCAAGTCTTCAGTCCTATCTGTGAAACTGTTCTAGTAACAAGTCTCTGAGACATTGGACCCAAGTCTTCAGTCTATCTAGGGAACAGTTCAAGTAACAAGTCTCTGAGACCTGGACCCAAGCTGGCATCTGTCCTTTTTGTGGGACTGTTCCAGTAACAATTCTCTGAGATGTGGACCCAATCTGCCACCAGTCCTATCTTGGGGACTGTTTTGGTAATTAGTCACCGAGACATGGGACCCAAAGCTTCAGTCTTATCTTGGGACTGTTTTGGTAATTAGTCACTGAGACATGGGACTCTGAGGCTTCAGTCCTATTTGTGGGACTGTTCTAGTAACAAATCTCTGAGACCTGGACCCAAGCTGCCACCAGTCCTATCTGGGGGACTGTTTTGGTAATTAGTCACTGAGACATAGGACTCCGAGGCTTCAGTGCTATTTGTGGGACTGTTTTGGTAATTAGTCCCAGAAACATGGGACTCTGAGGCTTCAGTCCTATTTGTGGAACTGTTCTAGTAACAAATCTCTGAGACCTGGACCCAAGCTGCCACCAGTCCTATCTGGGGGACTGTTTTGGTAATTAGTCACTGAGACATGGGACCCAAAGCTTCAGTCTTATCTTGGGACTGTTTTGGTAATTAGTCACTGAGACATGGGACCCAAGGCTTCAGTCTTATCTTGGGACTGTTTTGGTAATTAGTCACTGAGACATGGGACCCAAGGCTTCAGTCTTATCTTGGGACTGTTTTGGTAATTAGTCACTGAGACATGGGACCCAAGGCTTCAGTCCTATTTGTGGGACTGTTCCAGTAACAAATCTCTGAGACATAGGACCCAAGCTGGCATCTGTCCTATCAGTTATAGCACATGTAGCAGCATTACATAGGAGATCATAGTTTTCAATTTAAGGTTACACTTGGAGGAAGTCTACCAGACAGAAATTGTACTTGTAGTTGTTGTATAGTAATGAGTTAGATAATCTTACCACACTCTGTCCAATTAAACCTCAGGTATCAGTGTGACTATCCAGGGTTCAGTTAATAAGTCAAACTTACGTGATAAATGCAATTCGACTTTTGAAGTTGGATTAGCAACTCATTAAATTTATTTAAAATGATTTGGCACCAAGGAATGAGAATTACTAACAAAGAAACACTTGATGAGTTGTGTTAAGGGCTTAGGAGTTGTATAGTAATTTAAGTATAATGTGTGTAATTTGAAATGTTTCTACTGTCTGTATTCCATCCAAAACTTGTATTGAAAGCTGTTATGTGCTTGTGTGTCTTTTGCACAAACTTATATATTGTAGATGGTGGACACTGCTGATGGACCAGCGTGCCATGTTTCAGTTGAATTGAATACTGGCATGTTATTTCTTGGAAGTCATTCAACACTAGTAATTATGAAATTTATAGAATTCTGGGGTTTATGTAGAATCTTATTTGGTTTTAGACATTTCTTTTCAACCAAATTGCATTATCTCCACCACCTCAAGGATTCACGAATCTAGACCCTAAATATTATCACTGACGATTCCTGGAGGGATGAAACAAATGAATGATGCAGTGTAATTTGTTGTTTGGCACAAGTCATCTTACTACCAATTTGTATTGAAAGATGCTATTTTCTTGTGTGTCAATTGTCTGTTAGATGTTGTAACACTATAGGTATTAACCAAAAGGGGCTGCAGAGGCCGAGTGGTTAAGGGGTCTCACCATCTTTGTCACTAGTCCTCCAACTGCGAGTTCGAGGCCTATATGAGGCACAGGTGCTGGCTGAAGGTTGGTGTTTTTTATATGGAAAATCTGGCTTTTCTCCACAACCTAAAGCTGGCACATGCTTAAATGACCCTGGGTGTTAATAGGACATGATGTATTAGACAATAAACCAAACATTTCAATTTGAAAGAAGTAAAAAAGTACTGTATAAACATGAAAGATGAATAACTTAGCAGAGGAAGTACTGTATACTAGAAACAAAACATTTATTATCAAGTGAAACAGTTCACCCTGAAACTTTTCTGATTATGCAGATACATGTTCACTGGTAGTTGATTTCTTTGTGATACAATATTAGAATGGGTGTGCCTACTATTGATTGATTGATTGACAGGTTTTCCCTCTCCATGACTCCTTCCGTGTCTGGATATCGTCTCATAGACGAACATCAGTGTTCTAGCGATGTAGGCCTTCTTTTCTTTGTGGATTAATTAAGTAAAAGGTACATGAAGGTGCTCGTGATCATAATGGTATTAAAGCATGTCCCCTTCAGCTCTCCAGCATGTAGAGAGTACATTCTGACCTTCTTTTAATGATAATCAGTATCAAGGTTTTATCTGCTGTTAAACCCTGAATCCATTCAGGCTCTGGCTTGATTCATTAAAGTTGTACTATTATTTTGAGTCAATTCTGACCTGTTTCTGTGTCAAAGATCGTTAGAGATAATTGGATTAATGTGTTTCATTTTCACTTCGGATGATCATGCTATATGGCTGTGATATTTTGACTGTGTATTGGTTCTGTATTCAGGCATTAAGTTAGTATATCCTAATAAGGAGATATGAATGTATATTTCACAGAAAGGAAAAAATGTACAAAATATATTTCAATTTAAAAAAAAAAAAATGATTTCATTCTTGAAAATGTTGGTAGTAATAAGTAGAATCTGTGATAAAATAGGTGCGGTAAGTATGGGATCTACTGTATGTGATCTGTAGCATTAAAGAATTGTTCCAGTTGGTGATGGGTACAGAGGTGAATTACTCTTACCTTCTGATATACAATGGATATCAAGTCCATATAGTAAATAGTGTTGGACATTTGATGTCTTTAGTAGTTTGTTACAAGTGATATTATAAATCAGTTTTCATGTCTGTGTATAGGCCAACATAAAATAAGTGTTTGTTTCTCCAGGTTCTTTAAGTAAGTAACTGTGCCATCGGATTGATGAAGTTGATCATTTCATTTGAAAAATAAATGTAGTGAACATTTAGAAACAAAACTTTCAAAAAGAAATGCAGTAGTTTAAAAATATTCAACTAGAACAGTCATCCCCAGGATAACTAATACTGCCAGCAGATGCAGAGTCTTAATTTTACCATGGCAATTTCATCGATTTGAAGTGTATCTGACATGTCAATATTCGAATAAATTAATTAATCTAATGCACTCTAAAATGTTGCATGTACCTGTACTGACTGTAAGTGTATGTGTATGGGGGAGGTGGGGGGGCTGGGTTATAATTACAACAAAAATGAAGCTAATGCTAGAGGACAACTGAATGGGTAGATAACAGGAGTACATGTATCTTATGTGAAATATAACTTAACTTGTGTAATAATATGTAATGCTTTTTGAAATTTTGTCATTATTTCTTCTGCACAATAAATCATAGTCTTGGTATATTTTCCCATTATATTGCTAGAGTGAAGTTGAAAATTGAGTCTTTCAGTCTGAGATTGCAAGATTTGCATTTCATGCTTGGCAAGTACAAGATGGAATTTTACAGTTTCATTATGTACAGTGGAATCTATATCATACTTGTATGTTTTTGCAGAGACTTTGGTATTGGGTAATATGTATGTTGTTTGATGATTTGTAGTTGGGTCGGAAATGGATTGTTTACATGGAGTTATTTCATGGCAACTATCCATAGCAATATTGTTTGTCTGCATTAAATTAATTGTTTCATATTTACCTGTCAATTGAAAATACTGTTGGCAAGACTTCTTATTGAGGTTCCTACTAATTTGTTTGAAAAATGAAACCTGTTTACATGTTCAGACCCTTCAACTTCTGTAATTAATTTATTTTGTCTAGTCTTCTGAAGATAAATGTGTCTTGGTCTATGTTTCAAGCTTTTCAGAGTGTACATCCAAATTTGCAAAAGGATTATTCAAAAGACACAAATTTATATTACACATTTCAATTAGAGTCGAATAAAGTGGAGCCAAATAATGAACTAAGCTCTGTCATACAGCTGTTTTTGTCCCTTCAGGACCTGTTAGTGTATGCTTACAGTAGACTTTAAAATAAATTTTGAAACTTAGGAAGCAAGTTGGAGAAATTAAATCTGCTGGAGAAAAAAAAGCTCCAAATGTTAATGTGGATTAGTGCCACTAAAGCATCACAGTTCAATAAGTATCATAATGTCCTTTTTTGTATGATGTCAGAAACTGAAGTTTACAGTATATACCATCTCATATTGACTGCAGCTATTCAAATGAATACAAAAAATGCTCAGGTTGATTCTGAATTGTAGTGTGTGTGTCCAGACCCATGACAAAGCCACATTATCTAAACAAGATGGCTGGACAATAACAGTCACGAATTGTGATGCCTCATCATTTTTCGACCCAATTAACATCAGAAATTAATTAATAAAACAAATTTCTGTTATAAACTCTTCACACCATGTCATTAATTGTATAAAATTGTCACAAGTTTGAGTAAAAAATGTCTTTTATAAGACAGGATCTTATGACCTGAATTTGCTGGGAAATGACTTCATACAGAACAGTCTCAGATACAGCCAAACAGTCTCAGATACAGCCACACAGTCCCAGAAACAGCCAAACAGTCTCAGATACAGCCAAACAGTCTCAGATACAGCCAAACAGTCCCAGATACAGCCACACAGTCTCAGATACAGCCACACAGTCCCAGATACAGCCAAACAGTCTCAGATACAGCCACACAGTCTCAGAAACAGCCACACAGTCCCAGATACAACCACACAGTCCCAGATACAACCACACAGTCTCAGATACAGCCACACAGTCCCAGAAACAGCCACACAGTCCCAGAAACAGCCACACAGTCCCAGATACAACCACACAGTCTCAGATACAGCCACACAGTCCCAGAAACAGCCACACAGTCCCAGAAACAGCCACACAGATACAACCACACAGTCTCAGATACAGCCACACAGTCCCAGAAACAGCCACACAGTCCCAGATACAACCACACAGTCTCAGATACAGCCACACAGTCTCAGATACAGTCACACAGTCCCAGATACAACCACACAGTCTCAGAAACAGCAAAACAGTCTCAGATACAGCAAAACAGTCTCAGATACAGCCACACAGTCCCAGATACAGCCACACAGTCTCAGATACAACCACACAGTCTCAGATACAGCCACACAGTCTCAGATACAACCACACAGTCTCAGATACAGCCACACAGTCCCAGATACAGCCACACAGTCCCAGATACAGCCACACAGTCTCAGATACAGCCACACAGTCTCAGATACAACCACACAGTCTCAGAAACAGCAAAACAGTCTCAGATACAGCAAAACAGTCTCAGATACAGCCACACAGTCCCAGATACAGCCACACAGTCTCAGATACAACCACACAGTCTCAGATACAACGACATAGTCTCGGGTACAGCCACAGTCTCAGACACAACCACATAGTCCCAGATACAGCCACACAGTCTCAGATACAGCCACACAGTCCCAAATACAACCACACAGTCTCAGAAACAGCAAAACAGTCTCAGATACAACCACACAGTCTCAGATACAGCCACACAGTCCCAGATACAGCCACACAGTCCCAGATACAACCACACAGTCTCAGATACAACCACACGGTCTCAGATACAAACACACAGTCTCGGGTACAGTCACACAGTCTCAGATACAACCACACAGTCTCAGATACAGCCACACAGTTTCAGATATAGCCACACAGTCTCAGATACAACCACACAGTCTCAGATACAGCAAAACAGTCTCAAATACAACCACACATTCTCAGATACAGCAGAACAGTCTCAGATACAGCCACACAGTCCCAGATACAGCCACACAGTTTCAGATATAGCCATACAGTCTCAGATACTACCACACAGTCTCAGATACAGCCACACAGTTTCAGATATAGCCACACAGTCTCAGATACAACCACACAGTCTCAGATACAGCAAAACAGTCTCAAATACAGCAAAACAGTCTCAGATACAACCACACAGTCCCAGATACAACCACACAGTCTCAGATACAACCACACAGTCTCAGATACAGCCACACAGTCTCAGATACTACCACACAGTCCCAGATACAGCTACACAATCTCATATACAGCCAAACAGTCTCAGATACAACCACACAGTCTCAGATACAACCACACAGTCTCAGATACAGCAAAACAGTCTCAAATACAGCCACACAGTCTCAAATACAGCCACACAGTCTCAGATACTACCACACAGTCCCAGATACAGCTACACAATCTCATATATAGCCAAACAGTCTCAGATACAGCCACACAGTCTCAGATACAACCACACAGTCTCAGATACAACCACACAGTCTCAGATACAACCACACAGTCTCAGATACAGCCACACAGTCTCAGATACAACCACACAGTCCCAGATACAACCACACAGTCTTAGATACAGCCACACAGTAAAGGACTGATGTGTACAGAATTACACTTAATGTAAAATTTGAGAGTTTGAAAATAATAATTAAGAAATCAGGTCAAATGACATTTACAGGCTTCATTGTGAAAAAGGTGACCCAATAATAAAGAGGTTATGGTCATGCTTACACCTGACTTATATGTAGTAAACATAGATAGGTTAATCATCAATGTGATAGAAATATCATAATTATGACGTTCTGTGTATTACATAATTAACTCTAGTGTTTTGTGTTTTACAGGTACATATATGTGGCAGTGTTGATAATGAAATCTCAGGGAGCTACAGAATCCTTCCCACAGGTATGTTTTGATAGGATTTTTCATTTCAGTAATAATTACCATAACTTAAGTATGCATATATGGTACCTACACCCATTTTTGTATCCCAAAAGGACTGATCCGGTCCAAGATCCGAAGGCTTGGGCCACAGCCACCCTGGACTGGGACGGGATGTATGCCTATGTGTTCCCTCCCTTCAGCTTGGTGGGCAGGGCAGTACAGAAGTGCCATGAGCATCACAGCATCTTACTTCTGATTTAACCATTTAACTAGAGTATTTGCTCTCAGCTTTTAAGATGGTTTGATAAAATTTGATATTTTTATTGTCATTGAGATGAGGATTGAGTGTGATGAGTGATTCAGGCCCATTTGACCTCTTGTTTGTTTAATCCTTCCGATAATGGAGAAAAGTATAAAGTGCTTCAAGATAATATACCACAGTAGATAAACAGAGTTACAAGGTTCATAATTGAATACCTTAGCATTAATGTGTTTGTGAATAAATGACATTATGAACATAATTCTTTATTGAGGCATACTACTGAATGATGATGAGCAAATTATAACTCTCCTTCATTGGAGGTGCAAAACATGGATCTGGGACTCTCTCCCTAATTAATATACTTCTGCTGTTTCTTAATCCATGTAAGCTAGCAGATAAATTCTTAGAAGATATTCATTTAATACAGTGAGCTTTTGGCATCACCAAATTTAATCATGAGAAATTGCTTCAAATAATCATGACAGATGTTTCTGTTAAAATTTGATGAAGTTATATGCATGGGAATGTTTGGATAATATAAAGGTAACAAAATGCTTCTAAATGGAATTCTATGATTGAAGACTATCTTAATACATAAATGTTTGAACAAAACACTTACTGGGCACTACAAGAATAGATTAAAAAAAAATCTAGCACTGGAAATAATTTTGAAAGAAAATAATTTAAACTGAAAAATGCTATACAAAACACAAAAATTCTTTATTAAATATTAAAATATTTTATCTCAAACTAGTTAGGAAGAACTTTGTTTATCCAGTAAGTAAAAAACAAAGAAATATTAGTAAATATTTAGATATATATATCTATCATGAACTAAATACGGAATGCTTTAAGAGCTGGGAAAGATTCAACAAAGAGATGTGACTGAATAGAAGATATATCCTAAATGTTTTTGATTTTAGACATTCCCTCGAGGCATTTATAGTAAGAATGAAAAATCTGAAAAAAACCTGATAATGAGATCATTTCTAAACAGCAAATCAAACTATTCTTTTCAATAACTGGATGAAGAAGCATTGAAAATTACAAGAGCAAATTTACATATTCGCACCTGCTTCAAGTAAAGTGATATTAAGGTCATATAATCAAGAATTTTTATTTCTGAAGTGAAAGAGATTTTTTGTTTAGCTTTTAATTACCACTGGTATGAAGAATTTAAAAACTTTTGAAACTTTACTTAAAAACGAAAGTATTAAACATATCAAATCCAGACATTTTAGTGTAATTTTAACATAAAAGAATTTTATGTATTTGTGAAAAAACCAAGACTGAAAGAAAATCACATGTAGGTCAAAGTAATTTTCTAGCCTTTCAAATTTTCAATTTTACAGTCACTTTATCTGTTCAGTATATGTATTTTTTAAAGCTTAGTAGGTGGGATAAAAAAAACATGTTCATGCTATTTGACATTTATGGCAATGTGTCACTTAAGCTACAACCAAACATGTTATTCAGAAAAGATGGAGAGACTGACAGAAGCTTAATTTAAAACCCACTAATGGACAGCTGATCTTGGAATTCCTAACTCATCTGCGGCTTGTGTCTTCATAGCAATCAAGTCTGTCTGTCTGTCTATATTAAAGCCTGTTCTTCCAGTCATAAGAATTGCTTCAGCATATTTTTAGTAAGAATATGAAGGAAATACTTCAATTCTGTAGACTGAATGAACTTTGGTGTAATTCAAGGTCAATAGGAATTTTGCATTATACGGCAGCTTTGTTCAAGAGTTACCTCCCGTGAAATCTCTATATATGAGTAATATTTATATTATCATCTCTTTGTTTTGAAATCCTTAAGTTTGGAAAGGCCACAGTTTTCAAAGAAAAGATAACCTGCCTAAAGGGCAAGTATAAGCAGAGCTCACACTTCAGCAAAACATTTTGTCAACTTTGAATGTTTTTAAAGTAGCATGTTGGAAGGACTGCCATACATGTTCATAGAAGTAAATGACCTTGACCCACTGTCAAGGTACAAGGGGTCCAACATGAGAAACTATCAAACGGTGAGAAATTTGGTGATAGCAAATGCAAATAAAATGCCTCAATGGATTTTTACGTAATGTAGAAGAATATTGTGTCACGACATTCTACACTCAAATGTTAACATATTAACACCTTGGAATTAAACTGATGACCAAATTGTATGGAAAATAACTTAAGTGATACATTAAAGACAATATAAAACTGATTTTTTTTTGTCATAATACTTGAAGTGTTAGGAAAAAGGGAAACCAGAGACATCTCTGTCTAAATGGACCCTCCAGACTACAGTGAAACCTGTTATAACCGCCATGTAATTTTAGTAATTTTGGTAATTTTAGATATAATGTGTTTCGGTTTTACTGTTTTATATGCACAACACTTGCCCCATTTGTGCTGACATGCACTACGTTTATCTACCACAAATATTGTGGATATGTATTCAGTCATTTAATCCAGTCTCGTATGAAATTTTATATTTATGAATTTTGTGTTAAAAGTTCATTCTTGAATTCCGAGAAAGTTCATGTACATGTAAATATCAAAATCTGGAAATCTTTATGCAAATACTATCTTACATTTCTGTATCGCCAGTCAAAAGTATGTATGTGATATAGACATTTTAACATGCAAAATCATTCATGTCAGCTAGTTTAGGGCTTTTTCTGCTGAATTGTTTCTGGGATTCATATTTCTTTTGATTGATTAGTCCAGGATATCCACATAATTCTCGTGTTTACACGATTGTTGACACACGTACACATGTACGGGACTGATGAGGACATGTGTCATGTGTAAATATCATTGTCTCAAATCAATATTATATTTCCGAAACTCAAAAGCAGAAATCATAAAAAGTCTTGAACGCCTGTATAACAATATTCCTTATCTTATATCAAAAAGTTATTTCATAAGACTAACAGCTGTTTCTTACCACAGGCATATATTTGGAGATATTCACTCATGATGATGTACAGGTATAATTGAATATTGCAGACTCACAATGTTTCGGTGGGGATTTTCCACTAATTTAAAGTTGTTTAAACAGTTTTATTTGTCAAGTGTTTTTATAATGATTTATATATCTATTGCAAAAAATTAGGATCATATGAGAAATGTCTGCCTTCACTGACGTCACATGTACCACATGACTGGTCATCTCATTAAGTAGCTCACTCATGCGAAACAAGTACTTTCAACTGCCTAAAACAGGTATTGTGACATATTTGAGCAGTGCCATATTGGCAGTAGTGCTATTTAATTTAGATAATGATTTTGATGTAACAGAATTTAACGAAAGCCAAAATTGTGGCCAAAACGTTTTAATCTGAAATAAGTTTCCATTTCCATCAGCTGGATCGCTATGTGTGTCTTTAGTACAACTTAGAAGTGCTGAGCTTTACAGAAAACAAAACATCTCATGTGAAAATTCATCAAAACTTATATCAAAAGAAATAAAAAATCCTTTGTGTAACATGAAGTAAGATTGTTGTAAAGTTGAATTAAAGAAACAGAAAAGACTTTGGAATAATTGTCAGATAGATTAATTAGATAACGTGATTGTACTGGACTACTGCTAACTAATGCTGTAATTAATACATGTGCTGTGGGTGGATGAATTTTGCAGCATACTCAGAAAAACAAAGGATTCCAAAAATATTTCTGTTTGTCTTAGAAACTAACACATACTGCATTCCAAGGATATTACACTGGTTAATACCGATGTAAATATTTCTATTGTGTACAGGTTTATGTAACAATACACATGTTATGATGTTTACTCCAGGATCAAGCACCATGTGTTGGTACCACTATTGTTCTGATACACACATATACCTGTCCACTAGGATTAAGATAGCAAATCATATCCCTCCAAAATTATCAGTTCATAAGTAAGGTAACTCTGCCTAAAATTAAGAGCTCTGCGGTAAGGTAATTATCACCAAAATTAAGAGCTCTGCGGTAAGGTAATTCTCACCAAAATTAACAGCTCTGCGGTAAGGTCATTATCACCAAAATTAAGAGCTCAGCGGTAAGGTAATTCTCACTAAAATTAACAGCTCTGCGGTAAGGTCATTATCACCAAAATTAACAGCTCTACGGCAAGGTAATTCTCACCAAAATTAACAGCTCTGCGGTAAGGTCATTATCACCCAAATTAACAGCTCTGGGGTAAGGTAATTCTCACCAAAATTAACAGCTCTGCGGTAAGGTCATTATCACCAAAATTAACAGCTCTGGGGTAAGGTAATTCTCACCAAAATTAACAGCTCTGGGGTAAGGTAATTCTCACCAAAATTAACAGCTCTGGGGTAAGGTAATTCTCACCAAAATTAACAGCTTTCTTCTCATTTTGTTTGAAATATTTAGCATATTTCACAATAGATCCCTTACAGACTTCAATCTTTGGCATATTTTTTGCTATTCAATGACTTGGCAACATTTTTTTTTGAGTTGTTCCCCTTCATTGATTTGGCTAACAATGTCTGCTTAGTTGGATACAATATCACAAATTGTCTACATTTTATATTTATATTCAGACTTCTAGGTATTAAGGTGGCCAACATGACTCAACATTTTATACACTCATTACTGGACCAAGAGGAACTATCTCAGAACAATGATTTGGGCACTCATGGGGGAGGTGATACAGCAAAGATGGGGCCAATTAAGGAAAAAGTTATACAGCAAAGATAGGGCCACACAAAGGAAAACATTATGGGGCCACTCAAGGGGGAGGTTGTACAAAAGTGATTAAG